AAAACCCGCCACGCGTGCCGATCAATTTGGCATTCAAGCGGTATCATAGCCTGGTGTACGCTCCCTTGCAATAATATAGTCAACAAGTTTGCCAATGCCAGCATCTGTTAAAACGATTTCGCGATTTTGTTTTGTTTCCGTTTTAGACCAGGGACTCTTGATTAATAGCTTCCCTGTCATACGTGCGTGGCCAGTCGCGGCGGCGTTGACTAACATGCCCATGCAAGCGCAATGTGGGTGGGTCTCTTTATTATCTGGCAACCAGTGGAGGTGTATTAATCGATTTTGGTCAAATTGTTTGGTTTTTTTTTAAATCTGATCACAGACTACAAATTAGTTCTTCATCGACACAACCTAAAATTGGACACAATCACATTGGAAAATTATTTTCGTTTTTAATTATTTGAAGATACAAACAGCCAAAAAAGAGTCGCAAACTCTGATCTTTGCGTTGTAATGGCGACATAAACATTTCTAAGTGACTTTTTTGTGCAGGTGTGTGTATAAAGCATTGCGTAGAAACGAAACGAGTGATTTGCGCGCTACAGGAAATGACATCATCGCCAACTTAAATAGGAATATACGTGCCCTACTTATAACTATCAAACCTTATATCAAGTTGCGTCTGAATAAAAATAGCAATATACATGATATTAAATGTTCAACACGAAACACGGTATACTCAGCGGGGATATCTTTAATTTGGTCTAAAGATGAAATAATAGTTTATCTTTTACAACGTAATTCGCTCTAATTTGAAAACAACTTTTGCCAGGAATAGCGTTTTCGTATTCCAAACTGTTTTATTTAATATGATACCAAAATAATCATGTCTTAAATTTGTGAATATAATTTGAGCAAAAACCAACCGATGTTGAAATGGTTGAATGACACATTGTCAATATCTCTGTAGTTGAGTTAGCTTCATTTATTTTGGAATGTTAACACTGCTGCGACACTCTTCACTTTTAATTTTAAAAACCATACAAATGACTCTTTCTAATTTTGTAAAATATTCGCTACTTGACTTATTGGTTCTGTGTGTTTTTCAAGTTGTTACGTTGTCACTTATAAGTGTTTGATATCCTTTTATGAAGTGCAACCTTTTAACTGCAATAAATACTGTGTATGCACAAAAATGCCCCCTCTGCCAAACTGTGTAAAGCAATAAACCATTACATCGTATGTTTACATAACCATTGTTGTATGACGTCATTGAACTATGACCCCGTGACGTACTCTACTCTGATATCACAAATAACATTTTCTGAAGGAAGTGTTTACACGAAGCGCCGAACTAGTCAAATTGCGGCTCAGCACTATTCTGAAAAAAAAATTAAAATTTCTATCATGTGTTTAGAAAAGTGATTAATTTATTCAGCAGTTATGTAATTATTGTGTCTGTGTTTAATTGTTATGTATAATAATTATATTTATTGAGAAAGAAGAAACTGATAAAATTAACATTATTTAAACGCACGCGTCCGCAGATGTTTAACGTGAAATGCTCATGAGATAATTTGTGTTTAAAGCGGGA